GGGCGAGACCCCGGCGGCTCTCCCTGGGCGGCGGGACCGGCCCTCGAGGACTCCCGGCACCGCCGGCCCTCAGGGACCCCCGGCACCGCCGGCCCTGCTTCTCCCGGCACCGGCTGCCGCGGAATCCCGAGAACCGAGCCCGACAGTGCCCTCAGCGCGGGGCTCGCCCTGCGCGGGCGCCGCGCAAGGGCCGTGGCGCCGCCCTGGCCGCAGAGCGGGGGGCGGGTTGGGGTCAGTTCGTGCAGCGCTGGGGGCAGAGAGGGAAAAGAGTCTCGGTGTTTGCAGGAGACGCGGAGCACCGATCCGCATCCAGCCGGGGCGCGGGGGAGCGTGTCTAGCGCCCAGGTACCCCCCCGGCAGGAGCGGCCTTACGGAGAAAGGTTCAAAGCACTGAAGTTTAACCTTGGGACTGGGACGTTTCCCAGGCTGGAAACCGTCCCACCGTGACCCGCCTGACGGGAGGGGAAGGGGCTGTGCTGGCAGAAGCACAAAGGAGTGGGTTTAAAGCAGGGGATCTGCCAGGAGTCTGCCGTAAGGGAGGCTCCGACGCCATCCCAATGGAGGTATGGATGTCTCTGAGGAGAGAGGTGGGCGTGATGAGGAAAATTCCATCTGATAGACTTAACAACATGACTTTGGAGTAATTCTCCTCAGCCCTGTCCTTCCTTTGGATATTACCTAGAGATACTGCTGGATGCTGAAGAATGAGCTGGATCATGATCTCAATGACCGTGGGGTCCACGGACCTCCAGCTGGGCCACCCAGAGAAGTGCAGCTCTGTGTGGTTTTGTTTTCACCCTCTTCTATTAGCTGTGCCACTGTCATGTACATTCTTAGATATCGTAAAGGAGCTCTTTATCTTTAATTTAGCTTAATTTGACTTGTTTTAAGAGTGGTTTGGGATATGGGAAGACACTAAGTCATGCTGCTGGCTCTCAGAACACACCCCCATTTTTTCATGTATCCAATAAGCTACAAGGTTGGCCCTCACTCAGACAGAAGGACCAGCATGGAACATGATGCTGCAAGAGGATTGTATAAAGAAGTGTGTATAAAGTGTGTGTTCGGGTGGCTGCTGTTAGCACACAGTGGAAAGTGCCTGAAGGCCTGGGAGAGTAATTTAGCATTTATGCAAACACCCTAACTGGCTTGCTTTACCCTCTACTGGAGCAAGAACAGAGATGCCCAAAGAACAGAGTGTTTCCATATCACTAAGCAATCACCAGTGGCTAGTTAAAATTCATTTGATGGGTTAAAAGTTAAAATTTATTTCATGGTTTGTGAGTCTGGAAATCCCTCAAGACAGGGTGTTTAGTAGGGAGACTGAATCTGAATAAACTACCAAAGAACAGACTCAGCCTAAGAACATACCTTTAATGAATACAGATATTTTCATTCCGTAGAAATGATTAAACAGGGATCAGAAATGGGAAATATTGTCTCTGTGAGAGACAACATCTTTGTGTTGTCTCAACTCTCTTTGTTTTGCATTTCACAATGAGGAAGTCACACTATCAGGAAACCTACTGCTGTGTAAGAAAACAAAGTGCCTGGTTTCTTTCTTCTCAAGTCAGAAAAGTCACATGATTTAGAAGTTGAAGTCTCAGCAAAAAAAGACCCAAACATTTTCTCCCTTGGCTGTTTTTGAAAGTCCTGCTTTAATTTGCTCAGAAATATGCTGATATTGTGTTGCTCAAATAATACAGTTCATTTGATTTAGCTTTCAAATCCACAAGGCAGAAGGAAAAATGTTTTAAAAAATTCATGATGTGTCAAAAAGTTTCATTAAACAATAGGAAATGCATAGAATTTAGTGAAAAAAAAATAGCTAATTAAGATATCTAGATCTCAGAGACTATGGTACAATTATTTAGTTATGTATTATTAGGGGAATTTTCCCAGAATAAGTAAGTTTAATAAGAATGGTAAGAATATTTTACAAAAAGGCTCCAAAAGACCTCAGTTTGTGAATTAATCAGACTGATTTGGCATGTGTTTTACAGCTTCTTCCCTTTGTCTCTGGTCTGTTTATCTTTGAGCAGGTTTCATGTCATCTTGACATAGCTGAGGCCAATGATGAAATTTTTAATGACCTGCACAGGACTTGGATTTTATCCTTCAGGGATCACAGCCTGCTATCTGCCCTTCTCTCCGAGGAATAAGCAAGTCTCCTGAATAGGATCAACATTTTTTAAAATTGTGCAAATAGGTGTGCTGGCAGGTGGCTAGCAAATGTGTTTAAGGTAAACCAATGTTGAAATAATCTGTTATAATGAAATATGCTCTGAAATCTGGATTAGCTCTTCTGTACCAGGCAGCTGCTTCTTCCATGCAGAACCTGCTGACTGTGAATCCATCTGCATTTCCAAGAGGGTTGGACTTTGGTGTTTGAGATGATAAAATAGTTAGAACTATCTGAAATGTGCATAATTCCTATTATTCTTACTGTATCTTTTCCCTAAATATTACTCATAAGAGAAACAGAAAAACTTGTGCAAAATAGCAAGCAGCACTTTCTTTTTTAGCATGCAACAGGAACTGTTATAAACAGCTGATAATAAAAGCACATGGAGCATTGTGTGGTGACTGAGGCAAGTTCTCCCCACATCCTGCCCAGAGATGGAGGGCTTCTCTAGTCTGAAGATACAGGAAACAGCCAAGCCAGTTCCCCCAGATCCTTTCACAGCAATGCAACTGAACAATTTATTCAGAGAGTTACGGGAGCCCATCTGCACTTGTATCAAAAGCATGTTTTTATTTGCATCTAAATTTTCTAATGTTCTCTTTCCTTGGAGGATGGACAGAAAGGCTCAAAGTGGCACCAGCTTTCTTTCTTTACTGTTCAACTAATCAAACTCTCTTCCCCTGTTTTAATTTTTGATTTCCTCCTTTGCTAGGAAGATTCCTTGCATTCCTGTATGGATGCCTCTCTCATGCCTCAGAGGTTCTCTGTTTGTAATAAGTAAGAGGAGAAGGAGAAAAACTCCTTGTTCCACATTAAAATGTAGTGAGTTAATGATTTTTGATTGTGCTAATAAATATTTCCAAGTATTTCAATCCAAGTTGTATGTCCTGTCAAATTTCTGGAGCAACATACAGAAAATGCAATTCATATTCAGTATTGACCTGTAATTTTTCATAATTTTGGACATTTGGGATTCTCTTATCATTTTCCACTGGTTGTTTTTTTCCTAATCCTTAGACCTTGTGTTGATATTTATGAGTTCACAATTACTTCTGATGTTTTATTCAAGCCATTTAAAATTAAAGTTTATCAGCACTAAGCTGTATATGGAAAAAAAATCTGTCAGAATAGTACAAATAATAAATACTGCATGAGCAATGCTCAGAATTCAGGGCAAATGCAAAATTAGAAGTTTCATGTGATAAAGCCACATGAATTTTCATATGCTGGCAATAAAAGGACCATTTTATTTTATTTTTTATTTTATTTTTCTTCATTATCTTTGAAAACATATTTTAGATCATTAGAACCCTATTCCTGTAGGCTAATACATCTTATCTGCCATTTGTAATTATGGAGTTTAATGAATTTGGGATTTACACATAACTAATTATCTGCCTGAATCCAAAAATCATCTATGCCATGTACAAATGATTTGGGGTATAAAAGTTTTAGAAGTAAATGCTGGGAAAGAATCCAGCCAGGCCTCAGTTTTGGATAGAGTAGAAGTATTGTATCTGGATACAGTAGAAGTCCCTTTGGCTCTGATCCTGCAGTGTACTTAAATCAGGGAGAAATATCTCAGGCCTTAAAAAGAAACCTATGAAATCTATTTTTTTCCCTATAATTATCTAAGGGGGGTTTGCACGATGAGGAGGTGTTTTTATTATGTATCACAGTCACAGTTTTGTCTTTGGCACAGTCTTCTGCACTGCCTAAAGGTGATTCTTTCACGGCACCTTGATTTTTGACCTTTCAGCATGAATGCATACCAGGCTTCCACATTTTTTTTTCCCACGACCAGATGAGTGAGAAGCTTTGCAACAGCGCCCTCAGCTTTTTCACGGAATCACAGAATGGTTTCAGTCGGAAGGGACTTTAAAAACCATCTAGTTTTTAGATGTTACCCTTACATGTAATGAATTAATGTACTTTGTTAATGTACTTTTTCTACATGTGTTTGCCAGAACATGTTTTTTCATATCCTCCTCCAATCTCGCTGGTCATTTGCTAAGTCTTCAGCAAGGTGGGCTTAGCAACTTCATTGCTAACTTGTACCTGCTGCATACACTGTTCTGCTGGCAAGCTGAAATGGCCAGTGAGAGCCACAAGTATTGTGGTTGGTGTGGAAGCCACGGGCTGCAGGGACACGTGTATAGATCCCAGTCCTGGGGAGGTGCAGCCAGGATTGTGGAACTGCTCTGGGGTGTCATGGGCTGCCCCTCTCACACATTCCAGTGCAGGTCCCGTGTCATCGCTGCTCTGAGTTTCTCCAGCTCCTAGAAATAAAAAAAAAAAAAATCTGATTAATTGAACTTGTTGATTATTTGCCTATGCAAAGCACACAGCTTATTTACCACAGCTCTATTTTCACAAAATCAATTAGGTTGGAAAAGACCTGAGATTATCGAGTTCAACCTGTGACCGCACACGAACCTATCAACCAGATCAGGGCACTGAGTGCCACACCCAGTTTTTTTCCTAAACACTTCTAGGGACGGTTACTCCAGCAACCTCCCTGGGCAGTCCATTCCAAAGTCTAAACACCCTTTCCGTGAAGAAATTGCTCTGCCTAATGTCCAACCTAAATCTCCCCTGGCGCAGCTGGGAGACTGGAAGTCATAGTAAGACTGTGTCCTCTCTTCCTGTCGCTGGTTGCGGGGGAGAAGAGGCTGATCCCCACCTGGCTACTCCCTCCTTTCAGGAATTGTACAGGGTGATAATGTCACTCTTCAAGGTTTTAAACCTCTCCCCGTTAGGAAATTCCGAGGTTCACCGTTACCATCCCTAGCAGTGCCACCAAGTGACGGGCCGGGGCAGGAGGCCGTGTTCCCCCCGGCCGTGTGACGGCTCGGGGCGCGCCTCAGGCTCCGGGCACAGCGCCCAGCTGAGCGCCGCCAGCCCGCCTTACTCACGGCACAGTGGAAAAACGGAGCATTAAAAAGAAAAAATAACGATGTTTATTAAGAGCGAGTCCCGGCAGGGCCCGCCCGCTCTGCCTGGCCCGCCCGACGACTAACGGTGTCCTGCCCCAACCTCCGCCCCGGGGAGCGGCCGCGCTGCCACGGGGACACGGGGCAGGCCCGGGCCGGGCGGTGCCACCCGGGGATCCCGACGGAGGGAGGGCTTCCAGCTGCGGGCGGCCCTGAGCCCGTTCCGTGCGCGGCGAGCCGCGAGTGGCCGGTGCGGCAGGACCGTGTGGCTGCGGCAGGCGCGGCCCCGCGGTGACGGCCCCGGCGAGCACCATGCTGCCCACCCGGTAAGGCGCGTCCTGCGGCGCGGGTGGGGAATGGCGGCCGGGAGAGATGGTGCTCCCGGTGGGCCCGGGCCGGGGCCTGGGCAGGGAGGCCGTGCCCGAGCCTCGCTCCGCGGCCGGGCCACGCTCCGCCATGAGGGGCTCGGGGCGCGGCCAGGGCGGGGCACCCCGAAACATGAACAGCACCGCGGGCAGCGCGGGCTCGGGCGCGGCGCCTGGGCCGGGCTGGGGCAGCGGGCGTGAGGGGCCCTGCGGGCTGCGGCTGTGCCGGGGGTGCGTTTGCTGGCCCTGCCGTGACACACTGAGCGAGCCCAGGGGCTGCGGCTGTACCGGGAGCGCGTTTGCTGGCCTGCCGTGACACACCGAGCCCAGGGGCTGCGGCTGTGCCGGGAGGCGTTTGCTGGCCTGCCGTGACACACCGAGCCCAGGGGCTGCGGCTGTGCCGGGAGGCGTTTGCTGGCCCTGCCGTGACACACTGAGCGAGCCCAGGGGCTGCGGCTGTGCCGGGAGCGCGTTTGTTGGCCCTGCCGTGACACACCGAGCCCAGGGGCTGAGGCTGTGCCGGGAAGGAATTTGCTGGCCCTACCGTGACACACCGAGCGAGCCCCCGGGCTGCAGCACTCCCAGAGGCGTTTCACATTGCCGTCCACGTCATTCCTGTGCATACGGGACTCTGCTGCCTTCGGAGGGGTTTTTTTTTGTGTGTGTGTTTATGTTCCCGTTTACTCTTTTAAGTCCTCCATGAGGACTTAACATCTGCAGGCAGTGAAGGCTTGTGTGTACATGATGCACATGTGTAGATAGTGTAGGTATGCATGAAGGGGAGAGAGAGATAGAGATGTGTGAATGGCCTTGCTTTTCTGTTGGTGCCTGAGGACCTGCCACCTTGCCTTTCTTGAGGTGGAACCTCAGTCCCACAGGAAGGAAATAAAAGGACCAGCAATCCATATTCCTTGTCATGATGATGCTGTGAATTCTCACAAGGGAGTTTACACACACCCTCTGTGTGTTTTTCTTAGCACAGTTATGCTTGCCTAGAGGAGTAGTGCTGGCTAGTTACCTTGTAGAACACTTGGTGAATTGTGGGTGGATTACATTCTCTGAAGGGTTTCACGGTTGTTCCTTCTTCCTTAATGGCTAAGAGGTTTATGTCCTGCGCTTTAGGCTTTTTGGGTTTCTGCAGCACTAAGCCATGGAGGAGAAAACCAGTCTTAGCTGAATGGGACTGCTTGTGAGGCCTTGTGAAATCCATTTTGGTATATTCCTCCTTCCACTGCTATGCACACCAGCCAAGTGCAGAAGTGTATGCTTAGGGTCGTGGATGATTTCCTAGAGGCACATGGACCCCATCTGCCTTAAGATACTACAGGGTAGAAGCTGGTGTTGAGTCTAAGCTGGTTGTCTTGGGCATCTGAATAGTCAGTGAAGAGAACAATTACTGCCAGGGAAGCATTCTTCATTCTTGTTTTTAGATAACAAAAGGTGTCAGTTGGAATTTCAACTGTCTTGGTACTCTTGCACCAATAGTATCTAGTGTTGAAAATCAAGCTGAAAATAAGGACTGCTGTTTCTGAAGTCACCAGAATAATTCCAAAATTAAATCCCAAATTATTTTCCTGGGATTATTTTTAATGACACTAAATTCTTCTGCTCTGCCTACAGGTTGTGCATCATGAGGAAGCTTCCTTCTGTTCTGGCTAGGATGCTCACTTCTGGGACCAGTGCCTCTCCAGGGCTTCCTGACATGTCTGAAGGTAAGGTAGATGGCTGTGCTCTGAAAGATTTAATGATGATACTGAGGAGTTTATTTTTCCAGGTGGTGTCCCTGCATGTATTAGTATGGTTTGATTAATGAACGTGCCCTTGTCTGTTAGCTCATAGTAGTGGTGTTCAGGAAGCAGCAGACAATCACTGGGTGTTTGCAGGTGGATGGCACAAATATCCATAATCATTGAAACTGCAGATTTTGAGGCTCCTCTGGTTCTTCAGCCTTGGCAGAGCTTGGTTCTTTTCTGGCAGCATAACTGCTGCTCAGCTTGGGTCTTGATAGCAAGCCTGATAGTGCAGATAGGTACAATGAGACTGGAGAGAATGGCCAAAAAATGGGGAATTGAGTGGAAATAATGCCTTACAGAACTTTTAATCTGTCAATCCTGTCAATTTCACAAACTTGTAGAAATCTTTTAATCGGATCAGCAGCATTGCCTCGTGAAATTGCTCTTGTCAATAGAGCTTTGTGTTGAAAGGTTGTTTCAGTGCTCTAATAGTGATAAACCATAATGCTCCTGTTTCAGAAGCTTTTAAAAAGGTTTTCTTGCATTCCAATCCCTTGTACTTTGAAAAGGGCAGGAGGAAAAAGGCTGGAGCCAGGTACAAGTAATTCTTTCATGGAGTTCTGCTTCTTTCTGAGATCTTCTTTTTTCCTTTGTTCTCTAAACAGAAGACACCAACAGTTACTGGTTATCCAATAAAAGAAAAAATGAGGGTTATTTGTTTTAGAGAACTTATTTTCATTGTTGTTAATAAATGGCAATTTAGGAGGTTAAAGGAGTGAAGCAAGGATACATGATGTTGCATACTTGCAGCTTTTCCTGAGTGTTTATTTGAATATTTGGAAATGATGCCATCTAGAAGGCCAGTAAAAACAGTGAAACAGTGGTTTTTATCTGGTACTCCAAGGGGTGCTAATATTTTGTGGACTACAATAACTGTAAACATTTGAGATTCTGTTACAAAATTGTTCAAATTCAAGGTTTTGCTGATATGTAACCTATTCTAGTGTTGTGTAAACTATACCTTCAATTTGGTATCCATGCTTTCACAAAACACCAGATACTTTTTCTTACTAGTTTTTCACGTGCTTCCTTTTCATAATTTTTGGTTCCCATTGTGAATGCCCTCACTTTTTCCATGGCTCTCCCAAAGGCTACACAAAGCAAGACTTTGGAATTTTCCTCTGAAAAAACTCTCATCCCATTTCCTGAAAAATGCTACAGATATCTTTCCAAAGTTAACACTGTTTGTCAGCAGTACATGGTAGCCCTGAGTTTGAAGAACTATTTGGGGTTACACTGCAAGCAGATGCCACACAGAGTCAGTGGACAGGGAACTGGAAAGCTGGCTTGAAAGGAAAGGACAAACTGAGCTGAGAACAAAAGGACACTGACTGTAAATCAGGCAAGGATAGATTGCCTGCAGTTACTAAAGTTAAGGAAGATCTGCCTAAACAGAACTGAAGCAGGTAGAATAATCAGGTAACTCCTTAGTAGATGTAAATTGCATTGTTTCTTTTCATTGTTAATATAACCTGTGTTTTGTGCTCCACAGGACAGTCACCCATTCATGTGAATAATGGTGTGTTGTGGTAATTTGTACATATTAAACTATTTGCTATAACACTAAACTTACTCAGCTACTGTTTGTCCTTACTTTAGCACTGATGAAAAATGAGGTGCTGTTATTCTTCTCTGTTGCCTTGCTTAAAGCCCCCTTGCCTTTGGTGAATGGTCCTGATCTTAATTGTGGCAGTGTTGCACTAAATCTCTGTCAGCACACTCTGTCTGCAGTGCTGGATAAAACATTTCTAAGAGGCTTGTGGGATACAAAATCTCTCACAGGCAGCAGCTCCTGCAGTACTTTGCTTCATTTTAGACATTTGAATCTGCATCCAGTTTGAGCCTCAGTGCAGAGCAAGCTCTGTACCAAAGCTGGTGTTCTTCCTGGACCTGGATGCAGCTGGGGAGGCATCAGCACGAGGGCCATGGGTCTCACTGCTAGAGATGAATGCAGTGTCTTGTCCAGCTGCCCTCCTCGTGTCCTCTTCCACAGCACAGTGCAAATAAACCCAGGCCCTGCTGCTGTGGCATTGATGATCCACTGATGCCAGTTTAGGAGATACTGTGCAACCTGCTATGTGAGCATGATGGAGAGGTCCCATTTGCTGTGACTGTTTTACACACTTGAGACATTTGCCAGACAAAAAAAGAAATAGCTTATACATTCTTGTACTTAATTTTTTTACTTAAATTTCTGTTGTTACTTACTTAAATTTCTAATATCTAGAAGAGCAGGATAGTCTTCCCAGGAGGGAAAAAAGGAAAAAGTTGAAACCCATGTACTTATGAACCATAAAATGGACTAGATTTGGCTTGACAACATTTAGAAATGCTTTACATTTTATGCTAAGATAAAAATTTTAATGTGTTCTCAGCCTGGAAAATATTTATTTTTATACCTAAACCTGAAATCAGATGTATTAAATGGGACTAACAGCTTATATTAATTTTTGCAGGTTTGGACCCGAGATTTTTTTCAGAGCTTTTTACCTCTTTAGAGATGAAAAAGAAGATTAATTTAGTTTAAACAAAGAAAAAGTGCTGTTTATTCCCTGTCCATCCCAGCACACTGTTGAAAAATTGAGGTTTTGTGTTCTAGAAGCTGTAACAGTGTTTCTGATAACACTGTATTGATCAAATGCATGCTATGGCAGCTTCACAGGTGGAGTATGAGTAACAAGAAAGTAATACCTATTCTGTAAGCAAGCCTGCTGCTGCTTAAGGAAAAAGGAATCAGACCTTCCCTGTTTCCAAAAGAAATCAACTTTCAAGATTTTCAATCAGGTTCTTTCCTTGAAATTTTTTTTTTGTTCTTAGAATTAGTAGTAGAAGTCTTCTAATTTCAAAATATGTTTTTAGCCTAATTTTCTAAAGAAATGAGGTCTAAGCTATCTATTTTTTTGTCTTTGTCTGCCTATCTTCTTGTCTTCCTCATCTTCCAGAACCTTTTGTTGATGTCAGCCAAAGTAGATGAGCCAGCAGTCTCAAAGAGAAACAAATTTCCACAAATTTTGTGAAAATTGGCTTCCAAATGAGAGATCTGTTAGGGTGCCAGAGCTGGTGCTGGGGTCAGGCATGGATGCTGGTGTTTGCTGGCTGTTGGTGAGTCCCTGCATCCATGTGCTGGCTGCAGGCATTGCCTTGCCTGCCTCTGGCTCAGGCTGGTGCTGCTCTGGCAGGCAGGCAGAGCAGAAACAGGCTGGGAGTGCAGGGCCTGGGGCTGAGGGTGCTGCAGGGAAGGGAGGTTTGGGGTACAGCAGTAGTGGTGGTGTGGGGGGACTTGGGCAGAAGCTGAAGTGACTGAGCAGGAGGGGAGCCGAGCTGGGCAGATCTGACTGAGAGAGTGGAATGTGATTTCAATCCTAGGAATTCAGCTGGGCTCCTCCAGGGTTTATAGGCCAGCTTGCTGATCACTGTGAATACTCTGATCAGGCATTTAGTTTGAAAAGTGCCAAGCCTGATAAAGGATCAGCTTGTGACTCACCAGCAGCCTCTTTCAATTTCACCAGGAAATTCTGGATATTTTTTGGTTGCTCTTCCTTGGTGTGTCCCTAATATTTGAACCCCCTGGTGTAAAAGATCTTTGTATATAAGCAAGGGATCTCTTCTATACAATTCTCAGCTTCTCTTCTGAGCTTGGGAATTGTTGCTGCTTGTTTTCAGATGTGTCCAAATAGCCAACATTCACCAGCCATGGAGTAGTTTGATAAATTTGATGGGACCTTAGCACACTTAATCTCATCTGAGAAAGAGTAGAGAAAATGATTATGTACATTATTCTTGACATTTAGGAAAAACTTGTGCAGAACTACTGTTACCTCTGAGAGTGCAAACAGGGCCAGAATAAGTTGTACAGGCCTGTCTTCAGTGTTTTAACACTGTGTTCTTTCAGACTGCTAAAAATTTGGGCTATGAAACCTTGCTGGCAAGAACCAGTCTGCTGATACTGCCTGCCTCCGTGGGTGGGATTATTTAATTGGTATTCTCCTCATTCCATTTCCCAGCTGCACTCTTCCCTTTTATGTTCTTTTATGACTTTCTGATTTGTGTTATCTCCACAGTTTGTGTTTAGGCTTAATATTTTCACATCAAAATTCCCCAATCTAATCTTGATCCATGCTGTCTTTCAGCTGTTAATTAGCACTGGAGGTGACTGATTGCACTAACAAACACTCTTTGCTGCCTATATGCAATAAGCTATGGCATCATGTTACTCAGCCCATTCCTGTGATATGCCTACTAACAGCAGCACTGAATTTGGCCAAACTTTCATTTCTGGGCTGCTATTTGCATGAATTTGCTTAATTTTCCTCTTCTGGGATGAGGATTGTGCCTTTAACACCAGGCAACCTCATGTTTATCACTTGCAGCACTAAGCTTGATTTGCTTTGATTTCTTTTTTTTCCAGTGCGGAGCAAATTGAGGGATATAGTGGGAGCATCTACCAACTGGAGGTACAGTGTGCATTCCATGTATTTTACTTCATTTGTGATACCAAGGTGGAGCTCAGGGTTGTGGTAGTGGAAGTTAGCCATAGTTACTTATTGTCAGGGGAAGTAAAAGGTAATTGAAACAAAGCTTCTGAATTGATACTTTGTGGATCACAAATTTCTAAGATTTCTCTGGTAGAAACAAAATATCTGATCTTGGTGCTTACAAGATTGTCCTACTAGCTTTGAGTCCAGTGGGAGTTAGGAGCTGTGGAGTCTGGCTGTCACTGCTGTGTTGCTGGTACCTCCTGAGTTATCTCTAGGTGGATTGCCTACATGGTGGATTTCTCCTGCACTGGATTCAGAGGTAGCTGAGCTTGTACTGTGTACCAGGCTGCATTCTGAATGGCACCTGTGTCTCTTTGGAAAATTGTCAGCTTGGGATCTGAGTCTCTTTAATCAGGAGCATCTTGAGCATTTCCTTTGTCTGCCCTAACTTAATTTTTGATTAATTTACCTATACTTTAAATAATTGCTGGTTTGACTTTATTCAAGTTACTTTCCTTCCCCTCCATTACATTGAAAAAGCCAGAATTGACTGAAACCCTCTGCTGTTAGAGCCTAGAAGAGTCAATTTAGCAGTCTGGAGGAATTACACATTGCAGTTTGGTTGGTCCCATGTGTTTTGTTAATTTTGGCTGTGTTTGCTGAGCTATTTTTTCCCACTTTGTGCAGTGATAGGGAAATGAAGACAGATGTGCCTGGGTGAAGTGTTTGATGTGTCCCAGCCTTCTGAGTCAGTTTATCTAAACACAGCTTCAGTCATTCTAGTAAAAATGCCTGAATCTGGGAACCTGATTTTTGCTTAGTAAGCGTAGTATCTAAGCATGAGGGGGCTTGAACTTTTCATCAAGTCAGCTAGAAAGGACCCTAGAAATTGTTTATGCAAAAGCCTTTCCCACATCCCTGAATGGCTGAGGAGGAATGATGCCATATGGAAATGCCATTTGAGAATCAAGATTTTTAGAGGGCTCTGGTCAAGTCTGATCTTCCATCTATTTTGTTTCACACACTGCTCCCATCCTGGAGGGAGAGCAGACTGAGGTCAGGATCACCACAGCAATGTTTTTCTTAGGCAGATACTTGTGTCATACTGTACAAAATACAGCAGAAATGGTTTGCAGATTAATGCATCCTTTAGCTGCCATGAAGAAGTAAAGCCAGGGAGAGCACAGATGGCAGTGCTTGAGAATGCCAGGCTAAATACAGAGAGGTTTGGTGGACATGGATTGTGTAGCCTGAGAGAGCCCACTTTAAAAATAGAGTGACAAAGAGTTGATACATGTGGAGACTGAACAGCTGGGAATTTAACTGAGTTAGGCCACAGAATGACTAAAGAGGACAAGTCTGAGGAACAGCCTGAGAGGGGTTCTGAAAAGGGAGCTGGGGAAGGACTGATGTACACATATCTGGAATGCTGGGAGAGAGGATGTTGAAGGAACATCCTTAACCATTGATTTTGCTAAAAGGAGACTTTGGGTTGTGATTTTTCTTGTAAAGGCCAGTGGCATTATCTAGTTATTATGAAAAAGAAGCATCTTGCTTATGTGTTTATTCTGTTTTTGTACTTGTAGTTAAAACTATTAGTCTGTTAATTGTTAAATGTAGTCTAGATGGAATTTTGGCTATTTCAGAAATATATAAACATTCCTCAGAATGTTTAGGGGAGGTGCTAGTTAATATTTAGATGAATTATTGTTACTGTACAAGTAGTACTGCAGTGTGTAACAGTATTTGTTGAAAAATGTTACTGCTTTGAGCCTAATACTTCTGCATATTGAAGAACACATTCTCAGGTGGAAATCAAGAATTCTGCTGCTGACCTCAGAGGACCCAGGATGGAGCTGGTGAAAACAGAATATAGTTAAATTTTTATTGTTAGGTTTCTTTATGTTTGTAGACAAATTTCTGATTTACTTTCTGATTAATTTTTTTAAGCCTTTCACTGAAAGAACTTGGAAAAAGCTTTCTGAAAAAGCATTAAGATGCATCATCTTGGACCTTGCATCTTTCTTTAGTCACCCAGTAATATTCCATTTCTGTTTAGTGGCATAACTTTAAACATTAACCCTCTGCAGGAGGCTGTTACCTTTCTGTTTCCTGTAAACTGCATGGTAATCATGTTTCCCAGATGAAGTAAACCACATCTCATGTTTAAAACAAACAAACAAATGAAACTAACTGAAGTTTTCTGCTTGACTTTTACTCTCTTTGATCATGGATTATTTGCCTTTCCCTGAAGCTTATTAATCAGAAAAGAGGTAATATAAATATGTTGAAGCTTGACTTTCTGAAGTAATACTCAGTCAAGTAAGCCTTCACATTAAGTGGCTAATACCCAGAATTCATCCAAAGTCAAAACATAAGACAAAATTTCTTTTTGGTGAAAAGGTTTTCTGTTGTTTTCTTTATTTCTTCTTCTTCTTTTTTTTTTTTAATTGGTTGTATTAAACACAATGTCACTGAAATCTCAGCAATGCAGCAAGCACAACTTGAAGGAATGGCACACAGCCAGAAATTTACCATTAAGTTTGGTTGTTTTGTGTTTTATGCATTCTCTTGCTCTATGAAATGGATCCATATTTTTGCTTACTGCTTGGCTTTATGCAACCAGAACTGTTGCATGTTTAACCCTTAGGTTTTTAATAGATGGGTATTGATTCTAGGGATGTTATTAAATACTTGCTTTATTCAGTCAGGTTGCACTTTTAAGGGAAGGGAGCTTTGGAACGGGTAAGAGAGCATGTTGGGCAAGACTGTTACATCTTGTGGGTACCTGTGCAAGGAATCAGTGTGGGGGAAAGAAGTGACAGTAAGGTGGTCTCTTCTCCACTGGGAGAGTTGCAGCCCCTCTGACTTGGTGGTGCTGGAAAAGCAACTCTGAAGAAATTGTTCACCTTTTCTGTGTTGTTTTTTTTCTGTAACTTTCTGTAATTTTAAGATGTCTGTGTAGGAATAGAGAAAGAAAAGTAGGTTAGTTTTCTTTGTCTTTTAGCTTGCTCTTAGAACTGATGCTGCAAAGGATCAGTTTTTAGAAATGAATTCACCTATGAATGATGGCAAGTCTTAGCAGATTAGTTCACTTGTCATTAGTGCTAGCCAACACTGTGCATCTACCTTACTTCTTTGGAGAGATTGTAAATTGAATGGTCAGTCCTTTAAAATTGGCAGTGTGGAAGATGTGTGGTACCGTAGCTCTGAAAGACATGAATATTCACAAAACCTCATGGGTTAAATTAGTGTGATCTGTTCTTTTCAAGGGGAATGATTTTGGTAGCATTCAGAATTAGATGCATTTTGTTCATCTCATTAGTGTGAAGTGTGCACTTGCCACTTGTACACAAACTATTTAAAAGATTTCTGTGGTGGTCTTGCTTAACATCTCTCATTTTGTGCATTTCACTTTCTTTTCAAGGCACGCTCACTGTGTCTTGCTATATCTATATTTGGTTTTAACTTTGATCATCATTGATGTGACATCTTTTAGTTAGGGTTTCAGTTCTCTTGTTGTACTTCAGAGTAAAAGTTTTTTTCTTACCAGGGATCATGTGCAAGCCATGCAAGAAAGAAAAGCTCTCCATACTTTACTGGCAAAACGGCAGGAAGACCTCCCTCCTAGGAGAATGAAGGATAGCTACTTGGAAGTTATTCTGCCTTTAGGAAGTCAGCCTGAAATAAGAGAAAAATACCTGAATGTATATAACAGTGTAAGGTAACAAAGCAACCATGTTACACCTACAGGAAACTGTTAACTTCTGTTTGCCATGTGTGTAATTATTAAATTGTCAACCTCCTATATTGCAGGTTTGGAAGGATACTTGAAGATCTTGACAGTTTAGGAGGTATGTACCTATGCCCTGGAAAAGGCTGCGCAAAGTGAGTTTGGTTACTGCTGAGCACGTTGGTGTGACACAGTAGGGCCTTGGAGGGAAACCCATAATTCTGCCATCTCAGAAGGGAAGGAAAAAAAGAAGACTCTGGTACTGAAAGAGAAGGAAGGATGATAAAGAATAGATGGATGCAAAGTTGTTTGGCTTCCTGCCTCTGTCAGATTTTTAAAGGACCAGCTACAAAAATAGTTTACTGAAAAGTGATCCTAAATGATGAATTTGCATTTTCAGTGTGAACTCAGAGAAAATTTGCAGAGTGCATATTGAAAATGAAAACTTATGATTTTTTTTTAATTGTAAAAAAAATCTCAACCAAAATGGCCACAAACACCAACAATTAATGAGATGCAAATATCTTTACATTCCTTTTTTAGAAGAAGAGAGTATAATCTGGAAAGCATGTAATGTATCCATTGAGAACAAATGAAAAACAATTGGTGTATGTTCTGGGGTTCTGCAAATTGTTGTTAAGGATAAAACCAACTCAGTTATTTAATGAGTTAGGAGAAAAAAAATGAATGCTTTTTATTTATTTATGGTCTTGAAAGTTCACCATCTTTTTCTTTTGTGTTATAAGTGTGGGGTTGTTAGTAGAACTGGGAGATATTTTTTTCTTAAAACATCACCAGGTGACTTCCTCCTTCATCCTAGTTCCATAACTGGTTGGGAGCTTTTTGATGGAGGTTTTTGACAAAGAATTAAGTACTTATTAAGGGGAAGTTTTGAATAGAACATCTTTTTTTCTGTTCCTTCTGAGAGTCCAGATGGACAAAATTGAGGAAGGCAGAGAAAGAAATGAATGAATGAATGAATAAAAGCATGTACATTGTTAGATGAGATGAGCCTGTTTTTCATTCTGTGCCTTGTTTAATTTCCCCAGAATTCTGTGAAGATCTAATTTTTTTCCTGTGACAGCACAGAATGTCTTTACTTTGTTTACACTCATACTGGGCTTCAGTCAGTTCCACTGGGGATGTATTGTTTTGGGTTCATCAAGATTCTGTCCCAGTTAAACAGTATTCAGGGTGGTCATATTGATATAATAAGTTGATAGACTTAAGAGGTTTTAGAATTGTGACTTCAGTAAACATAGGGAAAAAAGTCTTAGATTACTGGGAAGGATGGAGATCTTCCAGATCACAGATCACAGAATATTCTGGTTGGAAGGGCCCCACAGGGATCATTAAGTCCAGCTCTGAAGTGTATGGTCCATATGGGGATTCCTTCTCTCTTATCTCACTAAGTACACAACAGATACTTTTGATAATGAAGATCTGTATTGAGTGAAAATTACATGAACACTAGAAAAAAAACATATTTGCAGCCTTGAATTACTCCAAGGAGTCTGTTTACTTGGATGTGCTCTTATGAGCAAAGCTGATTAGTTTAAATAGTGGTTTGGCTAGTAGTAATTGCAGTGTGATAAATACCTCTGACTATGGTTTTGTGCCTGTAAGGCACAGTTTATTTAATCTCCACCTCTTTGAAGGAATCAGTATTTAAAAAGTCCTCAGATAGCATGTGTCCTTGGACAACCTTCATGAAATCAAAATAGAAGCTAGGAGAGTCTGAGACAGGGAGCTGCAGAGGTAGAGTAAAGAGATTGTGTGGGATTGGAAGTCAAGTGATGAACTGGTTTAAAATGCTTAGTTAAATTTATCTTTGTAGTAAGTAAATATGCATAAAACTGAGATAGCTGCTGCTGTTTTCTTTATAGCAATCCCATCTGTTGCATACATGAAGATGTGGAAGCTCTGCTCTCCCATAGTAGGATACTTTAGTTTGTGTTTTCTTATGCTTTGCAAAGATGACTTTGATCTGCTCCACTTAAGGTTTTGTTAAAGAGCTGGCTCCATTTTTGATCTCTTCACAGTCCTTATCTGCTACACTCACACCAAACAGGAAATGCAGCAAAGGTCTCCTTTGTCCATAGTTACAGCTCTGGTGGATAAAATCAGTAAGTGGCAATTCAGTAAATACAATAGTTTCATCTGCTTGTCTTACTCTTTCATCAGCTACTGCCTTCTCATGGTTGTTATTGAGGATACCTTTTTCACTCCTATTAATTCACTTCATCTTGTTTTAGCTTTGAAGTTTTCTGGCTTTTGTTGACAAGAGGTGGGAAGAGGCTTCCGTAGATGCTTTTCAGCATTTAATGTAATTTCCCTTCAAAATGCAACTTACATGGTTCCTGGGCTTTTGTGTTTAGTTTTATTTTGGTGTGCAGATTCTTAGCTTCATTACTGAACAGTGTTTGTTCTGGTGAGCTGGACCTTGCTTGTGTTGCCTGTTCTGCTGAACACTCCCTTGGGTCTGCTGTCCACCTCTGCCTACTCCTGTTCTGGCTTCTAAAGTCTGCAGAGGCAGAAACTGCAGACGAGCAGTGTGGACCCTTGCAACAATTGTCTTTTCTGGACTGTCTTTGTGTGTGTTGCCACTTTCAGATCACATAAAGGTCCTAGGAAATCTGGCCTGTCTAGTATTAATTGTGAGTGATCTGTCTCCAGCAACCCCTAATGTTTGCCTTGTAGATTTGTGCCAGAAGATTATACGTCCAGACTGTGACATCAAATTCACAGGCAATGTTTCTTGGGTTGGGAAGACCTCCATGGAAGTGAGGATGCACATGCTGCAGGTTGGTTCCTGTCACTTCTCTCCATCTTACAACAGGCATGAGGTTGCCTCAGGGAGAATTTACAGGAGCATAAAGTGACAGGACAAGGGGGGATGGCTTCAGGCTGAGAGAATGGGTTTAGATGAGATAGTGGGAAGAAATTATTTACTGTGAGGACAGTGAGGTACTGGAACAGGTTGCCCAGAGAAGTAGAGATGCCCCACACTGGAAGTGTTCAAGGCTGGGTTGAATGGGGCTTTGAGCCACCTGATCTTGGGAGGTGTCCCTGCCCATGGCAGGGGGATTGGAACAGGATGTATTTAAGGATCCTTCAAACCCAAATAATTCTGTGATTCTATGATAATTCTGGTAAACAGGTGCATTTTAAAAATTCAGTTGTTGTCCTTAAGTCTCTGATATAGAAGCTAATGTTACACCTTTTTGTTCTGAACTCCTTACAGTGCTGGCATTAGTGGCAATTAGTGGTATATATAAAAAAAAAGCTATGGTATTTCTCAGAGTAAAGGTTAAGTGGGTCCTTTTACAATGACTGTGTTGATTTCCTCCCCTCCTTGCTCAAAGTTTTTAAGAAGCATTCCCTGGTAAATGTTTACATTGCAGAATTCCTGAAATGAAAGTTTTATTTCCTTGTCTTTGACTGATTGTGAGAGGTGTTGGAAGGAATGACAGAATGTGAAAGCAAGCAGAATTAACAGTATGATTGAATAGTTTATGTCAACTAAATAGCTTGCTAAGCAAATTCCCAATTTTAGAGTTCAGTAATGTATTTTCCCTGTCTCTTTTAGCAACATGATGGGGATTACAGCCCTGTGTTAGATGCAACCTTTGTCATGGTGGCCCGGGACCCAGAGAACAAATGGTAACTTGTAGGATGGGAAGACTTTCCTGACTTGTGCTGAGAATGGCAAACATGGCTGCTTGCTCTGTATGTGTAGAAGCCTTGTAATGTAGGTGGTAAATAAACCACATAGCTGATGCTTTCTGCTGGCAGGTGTTAACTTCCCTGTGACAAACTTCAGACTTTAGCAGTTGTGATACCAGGAATTACTGGTAGTCTTGGGATCTGACCCTTTTTTTTAAACCAGATTTTTCTGTGTTTAAGTGACTGGTCTGAATGAACACAGAGGTGAATGCTAGAAACCCACCTGCATTCTAGTAGTTGTTTGAATTAATGATTGAGTTTCAGTGGTTAAATAGTCTTTGAGTGATTAATACCATTAATTCCCCAACAGACACTTAATAGGTGTCATCAGAATAATTCAGGTTAAAACTTGCTTGTGTAACTAAAATGAAACTGGTAAGTATTCCAACAGAACATTAAAAAACCCCAGACATTTATTTTGTTATTTTTCTGGTTTTACTTTATAATTCCTTAGCTATTAGAATAAAAGGCTGCTCAGTTGCCCTTTAGGTTTATGACTCCAGCATCAGAAAAATTGGCTGTAATCCTTACCTCTTTCCTATATAGCCTGCCCAAGTAATAAACATTTCTCTTTTTCTAATTAGCTTAAATAATTGCTTTTATTTAACAAAGATGTGTTTAATGAAGGGGTTTTACTTGATATAATTGTGTGGTCCTGATAACATTAGAAGTAGTTTCTAGGGTTTTTTTCTTCAGATTTGAAGAAAAAATATATATAGTGAATATACTATACATTAAGAAAACAAATGATATTGTGGTTCCCATTTTAAAGACTAATTTTTCAAAATAATGACATCAAACCTGATGTAATTACACAGTAGCAGATTGACTGAGGACAAGCCTACATGGACTTGTGCAGATAGATGCAAAGTTCCTTGGCAGTTGTACAAGCTAGCTGGCCCCAAGCCAGCTGTATTTTGGAAGCATTCTGTCCATATAAGGAGGGTGTTTATGTGAGGTCAAAACCCTTCAGAGAGGTACAGGATATGTCAGTTTGGCTGTAGCCCCACAGGAACAGTGTTGTGTGGCTTTGGGAAACTTCATCTCAGCAGCTTGGGGCTTGGCCAGGAGAGCTGATGTAGATGTGTGCTGAGCTGAGGGAAAATGAGCTTTGTGATGGAGAAGGAGCTGGTGGATGTCCAAAATCCAGAGGTTTAGCAAACCAGGAAAGATCAGTTTGTTGTAAGAAAAAAGCGCCTCTCGGCCTCTTGTTGCCAGCCCAAGTAAAGGCTGGGGGTAGAGGTGAATTGTTCAGCAGGTCTCTGTGTGTGTGTGTGCATTTGTATAAATGTTGAAAGTTAAAATATAATAATTAGAAACTATGGGGAAGAGCAGTTCTTGAAAATAAGTGTTTGTCTCTACTTGTGCAAATAATTAAATGTTATATAATTAGGTTAAGTGAACTTATTTTTGCAGTAGAATAAACATAGAAATGTTGTGCTCAAGGCATGTCATAATCTTTGGTAAGGGGTACACGTGGTAAACAGCTTTTGGCTGTTGATAAGGCTGTCAAGGGAGCATGTAGATTATAAAAACACTTGCTGGCTACAGCACTGTGCTTCTTCTATTCCAGGAGGAATGGTACCAGTCTACTTTTGGTTTAGATTATCCTAGATCATGTTTGATTTGCTGAGTTTCTGAACAGCTTTATTCTTAAACAATTTTCATTATAATTTATGAGTACAATTTTAGCTTCTTATGAAGCATTGATGTGTCACTTTCTCTTTCCTGATTGCACTAGGTAGTGGTTGGATCATTTAACTGCCCCTTCAGACTTAAAGCTAATGTCATATTGTGTTGGCAGCCATATTTATTTTTATCATATAACCTGAAGTATGTAATTACATCTTTACTCTGTATGTAAACAGAAATGGAAGACTGTTACAATGTATTTATGGGACAAATTCTTGTAAAATTTGTAACTTAAAAAAAACTTCCTGTCCATAGGCCAGCATTTGTTAATCCACTCATTCCTGAGAGCCCTGAGGAGGAAGAAATCTTCAAGCAAGGGGAATGTATGTCATATTTCCTGGTAGTATGCACATCTGCCTCAGTTTCAACTTAACAGCTGGGAGGAAGCAAAGTTCAGGAGTTCTGCTACTTAGAAATGTTCCAAATTTGTTTAAAATCAGATTTTTGTTCTGTCTCATTTGTGTCAGTAGAGTAAGAGAGTTGAAAAGCCTGCTACCACATGCTTGGAAATTCTTTGGCTAAACTGACAGACACTCCTGATGTGCTCTGCACACCCTCTGGACTTCTCCCTTGGCAAGATGCTCCCCCCGCTTTGGATCTGAGTGCAGCACAGGGGCTCCTAATACTCTGGCCAGCTGATTACCCCATGGTGGGCCTGCAGGACATCACAGCTCCTCACCTGTCTGGGTCCCCATGGTCCTTTTGGAAAGAAACTCAGGGAAAAAAAAGTGGGAGAGCAGGGGAAGGAGCATGTAGCTCCATCCTCATTTGTTTCAAGCTGGGGTTTTAAGTGGAGAATTAGAAAAACACTGAAGGCTGAATAAACTGGACAGAAGATCTTATAAGTTAAAATTTCAATCACTGTAGCTTATGGTAATGAGTTCTGTCATAAACTTTCATTTTGTACCATTGGCAAAACCTGAAGCTGATTGTTCTGTAGGGTTTCTTGTTAAATATGTTCTGTACTTTGAGGGCAGTACTCAAGTTATCTGTTGGAACAGTGTGTGGCTGTCATAAAATATGTGTAGAAGTTCTTCATCACATTGGTGGGTACTAGTGAACTTCTGCTTTATTTTTATTTCACTGCAGTCAAAATTCTCTTTGGAGCCAAATTTCTCTTTGGATCTATAGCACCATGAAGTTACAGCTTTCAGCTTATGGGGGAAAAGGAAAAATAATGGCAAGATGGTTGATTTCAGGTTAAAATCTTCAGAGCTATTATTTGTTTTTCTCTTTGGCCTTTAATTCTATGGTTTTTGTTTTTGTTTTTTTAAATATTCAGTGAACAAGTTGAAGAGGATAGAATTTAGCACTGCTTCCTTGCTGAAAATGGCTCCCACTGCAGAAGAAAGAAACATTGTGCATGACATATTCCTTAACACACTGGACACAAGGCAAGAAGGGGAGGGTGAAAGAGAACTGACATCTTGTGAAAGACAAAATTGCCTTTTGAGTGGGCATTCATAACAGAGTAGTGTGGAATAAATGTACATTTAAATTCTGTGGCAATTTATTTGAAATGCAGGTACAAACGTTGATATGAAAACTACAGCTCTTAGAGCAATCATCTGTTGTTCTAAACAAGCTATTAGGAATAATTTTGAGGAAAAATGTTAATAATGTTTAAGCAGATAAGAGAATTGAATGGTTTTGCACTCAGGACTTGCAAATCAGTTTTCTGCCATGATATCTAATTTTAAAAATGGTGAGGGCAGGAACTGGTCACCTTTTAACCAAATAACCTTGCAATGTGTTTTAAATACAGTATCTGACAACATTATTTGAGGGAGTTGCTAGCATGCTTTTCTTATACTTGAGATTGGTGTGAAGTCATCTGATGCCAACAGTGATAGAACAATGTTTAGTTACATTAGTGCAGTGTTGTATTTACAATAATTTATCATTTCTTTAACTTATTAGCCTATACAATTGTTATTTTAGAGCTATTTACCAAAGGCAGACCTGCTTTCTCTTAAAATTAGTGGTTGTACTTCTGTCTGGGTTTTAAAACTTCAAAAACTGTCTGTGTGTTTGATGTTGAATTATTCCATTAGCTCACTGTGTGCTTTTATTTCCTATTATGACTTAAAAAGCAGAGCAAGGCTTTTCTGACAAAGAGTGCACTTTGTGGTTGTGATTTATCTTTTCTTTCATGTACCTTTCTCAAGCCTCTTCATTCACATAAACTTGCACAATAGCAGAAGTTTTTGAAAGATCAGGAGCATAAGTTTATTGCAGTAACAAATCAAAGGACAGCTTTAGATAAGGCTTCGAGGTCAGCTGGAACAGTGTTTAGCGATACCATTTCTGTTTTGGGTTTATTTAGGTGTTCTATATTTTTGTGGCTTTCTTTAGTATGTGTCTGCATTTGCTGTTTCTGCTTTTTTGGCATGCTGAATTCTGCTAATTCTGTGGACTGTAAAGTTTATTGTCTCTTCCAAAGGACAGTGAGTTTCCGGAGTCGTAAACTGCCACCCAATTCAGTGTGGATGGAAGATGCAAAACTAAAAGGCCTGCAGATTTGCCATCCTGAGGTATTTTGAAAAATATTAATGAATTACAGAAGGTTACTTAAGAAGTAACTTTGAGAGAGAATTTTTACAGGGACACAGTGAAAGAACAAGGAGTAATGGCTTTAAACTGAAAGAGGAGAGGTTCGGAACAGGTATTAGGAAGAAATTTTTACTGTGATTGTGGTAAGGCTCTGGAACAGGTTGCCCAGAGAATTTGTGGATGCCCCATCTCTAGAAATGTTCAGAGCCACACTAGGTGGGGCTCTGAGCAACCTGGTCTAGTGCAAGGTGTCCCTTATGGTAGGGAGGTTGGAACTAGATGTCTTTAAGATCCCTTCCAACCCAAACCATTCTATGACTATGAATTTTTGCCTAAAATTAATCAAACCATTATTTTGTTTGGCTTCTGTGGTCCTTGGAATTTAGAGCCTAGTTTCTTTTGCCAGTTTTTTGTTGTTTGTTTGGATTACTACTGCAAAATGGACGATTTTTAAATGACCTTGTTTTCTTACCAGACTGTTCATTCTGTGTAAAGAAGTTCCTTTGCAAAGTGTTTGCAAAAGTTTGGCCTTTGGTTGCTGATACAATTTTGAATTGTTATCTTCTGCTGCCAAATTAGTCGGATGAGCTCCTATTAAGTAAAGTTGCCTTGGGCATTTTGAATTTTGCATACATATTTCAGTAGTGCTTTTTATACATTCAGGTATTGGGACTTCTGTTAAATAGTGTGAATTGAAGTGCAGACTTCAACACAAGGCTTTGAAAAGCATTTGGTATTTGTTTCTTTGTGCAGGAACGGAACATCTTCAATAGGATCTTTGGGGGTTTTCTCATGAGAAAGGCGTTTGAACTGGGATGGGCAACTGCTTGCAGCTATGGGTGAGTTGTGGACCTGCAATATTTATATAATCCAGAGCATTTTGCTCATACACAGGGGTTGGGAACCCAAGCTAACCAACCTAATGATAATCTGAGCTGAAAAAACTTAGGTGTCTGGTGGAATCGTGCACTATTAGTGTGCAGAGCTGCTGTACTTGGAGCATCTATCATATTTACAAAGAGATTGGCATCTTGCTCCTTGGAGCTTGGGTTTTAAGCATTACTTGTCAAGATAAAAAATACATGAATTTTCTGTTTTCTTTTATCTTACCAAGCTATTGAGATGGACTTTATAACCATATAACATATTTATTCTATTAAATAAATATTACATCTTTGCATTCAGTAGACAAGAGGAGTGGGTTCTAAACTTCTTCTGTTAACTGCTTGAGCTTAGGAAGTGTGACTGAAGTCATCACCCAGCAAAGGTCTATATAAGTTTAATGGGCTATGCAAAGCCTGATATCAAGTTAAGTGGTTTGTGTCAGTACTTGAAAAACTTATGCCTGAGCAATGATGGCTTGAAGATTGTCCAGCAAGTATAAGTCATAAGATACAATAATGGTGCAGTAATGTATCCTTAGAAAGTGTGGACTTCATTGGTGTGAGAGATTTCCTCCAGTGATGACATAACTCCTTACACTTCCTGTAACCTCTCTTAAGAAGAGATTTATTCTCTAGTAACCTTCATTAAAATGCTGACAAGTAGATACTTTAAATTTTTGCAAACATCCCTTTTATTCTTGAGAAGAAATTTCTCTTTTGTTTCCTCAGGGGTTCCAGACCCTTTATTGTATCTGTTGATGATATCATGTTTCAGAAGCCAGTTGAAGTTGGATCCTTGTTACTGCTTTCTGGACAGGTAGGAGTTGATTTCCTTTTGAAAAGGAACAAACCTTGTCTTTGCTGTCACCAGTGCTACTCACTGATAATGAACAATGTGTAATGAGAGTGTGTGACTTTTCTTGTTAAATGATGTAATGAAATCTGTTACAGTTTTCAGCACTGGTGATAAATTACAATCTCTAACTCTTGTTTTAACTGTGTAGGTCTGTTACACAGAAAAAAACTACATCCAAATTCGAGTACACAGTGAAGTTTACAATGCAAATACCAAGGAGCACCACACTACCAATATTTTCCATTTTACATTTATATCAGAAAATGAGGTCCCACAAGTTGTACCTAAGACATATGGAGGCAAGTATCCCATTAATATGTTGTCATCACAATGTTGTAGAAAAGAGGACTTTGTTTCTCTTGGAACACTGATCATTTTAATAATTGAACTATTGGCATTTAAATAATTCAACAGGATTTCATGGCAAACCACATAGGTTTTATGCTTTGATGACAGTGTGGATTACTTCTTTTTGCCAGTCTGTTTAGTTGTACTTGCCCAGTATTGATACTAAGGTGCTAATGTGCTTCTCTCTGTTCTCCCCTTTATTTCAGAGTCCATGTTGTATTTAGATGGGAAGCGCCACTTCACTGCAGTCATGAAAGAAATCTGATAGGCACTGGGTGCTGCAGCAGCAGGGCAGCAGCCTGCTGCCTTGGCAAGAGCTGACACTAGAGGTGCCTAATGGACAGGTGCTTGTAATACTCAAAGAAAAACCCAACAACCACCCAAAACCAAACCAACCAAACCCCAACTCCACACCAAAACCTGCCTTTTCAGAACTCTTCATGTATTTGCATATATTTGGATTTTTTATTCTTTACTACTAGAATTTGTTGAAATATTTTACATGCAAATGCTAGGAAAGGAGGCTGAAAAGATGCAGTCTTAGGCTTTGGATAGACTCTCTTTGTCTACTTTGAGAGATCTCATTGCAATCTTGGTTGTCTTGTCACCATCTGCTGCCTTTCCCTTAGTAGCTCTCCTTTGTGTTTCCCTGATAAAGGATAGGAGTTCTGTCAGAAAAAGGTGTGCAATAAGTAGATACATACAGGTGAAGCAATTTGACCTCCATTCTTGTGTAAATTAGGTTAAAGGTCATAATTCCTTTTTGAACAAGGACACATGCATCTAAGCAGCAACAGAGGGGCAGAAGTCAGTAGTGTGTGCACAATGGAAGGCAGGTGTTTCCCATCACTGGGGATTTTACAAGTTGTTGCAGCTTCTGTTTGGATGGTTTTCATGTTCCCTTGGGAGGAAACTGATTTTTACAATGAAATGAAATGGCTAGATGGTATTTTCTGGCACTCTGTTTGTGTCCTTGCCAACCTCTTCTAATTTTTTTGTTTGTTTGTTTTAATATATAACTGCGAGTTCCTTAGTGAATTATTTCTCATGGCTTGGAGACTAGAGGTCTGACTGGTGGGACTGGGAAATGGCATTGTAGAACATAACATTTTTGTTTATTAAGGACTGGGAACAAGAAAGGTAAAATGCTGCCCAAATGGTAATGGTTATGTTTTGTGCTGCAGTTAGGGCTCCTGAGAATCTGTGTTGAGCAACTCCCAGGTCAGCTGCTGAATGATGGGGTCTTTATCCCACTGAAGGGTGGTACAGCTACAGGACAGTCTCCTCCTTAGCTGGATTATTTATCTGTTCCCTTGGACTGAAGTGCAGTATGAATATTGCACAGCTCTAAAAGTTGTCCAGTTTACCTGTGAAGGACAGAGAACATCCCCAACACAGAGGGGACACCATGGTGTCATAACTATGGCAAATACATAACAGGAACAGAGTACTTGGTACTGAAGTGTTTGTGATGTTATGGAGAAAGTTTTAATAATATCCAATTTCTGGCACTTTAAGCCCAATTTCTTGAAATCAGGAAACTGAGTGGATGGGAGGTGTCAACTTTTAGCAATGAGTGTGTCACAAGCATGAAACTGGTTTTCTGTACTTTCTCATCAAAATTGATCAGGACACCCAAAGAGGAGTTGGCCTCAGGGGTTAAACAGAAATGTGATGTCTTACAATACAAAAAGAATGGATTCTGGCTTCCCTGTGAGGTTTAAAATGTTTTGAAAAGAGGATGCAGCAAATAGTAATTATGTCAATCAGCACAGATGCGTGAACCACATTGATAAAATTAAGTAGCATGTTGAGCTTTTCTTTCTGAGTAAGAAACCTGAGACAGTCACAATTAGGAACATTTCCTTTGGTGCTAGGATGGCATGAAGTTCATGATCTCTAGCAGCTCTTTGCTATTCCTGTGAGGAATTGTAATTGAGCATTGTAATAATCAGCATGTTACACATCAGCCTTTCCTTCTTAAGATTCAGCTGCTGCATTGGGTGAGTTAGATTGCTTTCCAGAGTAGGTACAGGGGTGTGGCCTGATCCAAAACAGATTCCTGCATTGCTCTGATGGTAAACTTTTGCTTCCTTCCATAGAGTTTCTCTCTTCAGCCACACTCCAGTGCTGACTCAGCTCTATGACATTAAAATCTTTCATGGTTATGATGCTGTCAGATAAATTGTATTTTCTGGGTTTTTCCTTTTTAAAACTGACTCTATTAGACTGACCACATAAATAAAGAACTGAAATAATATCTCACCTTCTTCCCCCTTGTTGCAGGGATCAATGTCTACTGTTATAAAATAGATCCTTCCATTTCCTGCCTTCCTATTTATTTCAGAACTATGTTCTACTCCTGAGTACCTGCAGGTTTTTATCACTGACCCAGTGATCCTACCCAGATCACTTTTTTATAACACACATAAGTTAAGGGGATACCAAATTCATCCTCCACTGACTTTTCAGCTGCATTTAAAGATAAATTTATCATAATTTCTAAATTCAGCCTTTGGGAAGGTGTTGGAGAGAAGGAGAGGTAATAGAGTATGGAGGAAGGTGTGACATCAGAACCTCTGGATGCAGTGAAGAAAATGAATGCCACAAATGAAGCTGTGTAGAAGAATTGATATGTTCTCAAAGTTCATGATAACTTAATCACATACCACAATGACAGTAGTTTCAGAATGTATATGAAGCCATACAGAAAATGTGTATGTGTGGATATGCACATATGTAAAAGATAAATGCTTTTCTCTTTATTGCTATGTATATGTACTCATGTATTTTTTACCTCAAGATGGTGACTCCAAGCTGTCACCCTCTCTGGTATCTTTGTTTAAGGGTATGCTTGCTGCTTTGTGCCTTTGTGTGTATGGGAGAAAAATATTCTCTGGTCTCACATTTGGAATTAAAATATTTCAACATAGTAATTCATGTTGGGTTTATGTTGCAACTTCTATCCAGCCTGTCACCGCTGTAGGTGACTAACCATTACCACAGAAGCCTAAAGGAATTGCTAGAAAATATTTTTATTTATAGTAAGCTTAACTATATAATTAATTGACTATGGCTCTGTAGCAGGAAGCAAATGTCTGTGCCCATTGTTTCTCGGAATACAGTGAGGAGGAGCAGGATTGCCTCCCTTTACCCTTTCCCTTAATGATGATATGAAAGGAGATTTCTGTGGGACTGGCTGAACTCAGTGCCCAAAGGAATGCCTTGTTTCAAATGTTTTTATTTTTCTGTAGTTTAAAAGTACTAAAATCACTCAAACTTCATGTAACAGCTTCTGGTAGCCCTTTTTCAAATAGGGACCATTCCTGTCAGATTTTGCAGCCATGTCACATTGTACAGCACTCTGGAAAGAAGTTTGCAGGAGTTGGTGCAATGTGGGCCACAGAGCAACAGTTTTAGTTCAGAAACCTGCTCTAAACTCTGCATGCTCAATTGGTTTTACTGCATGTCCAGTCCAGCCTTTGGTGACACTGGTTTGATTGCTGATCTTGCTCTGAATGCATTCTTGACTAGGCATGGGAGAGATCATTTCTGCACGGGCTAGTCACAGGCTAACAGGAGAATTAAAGGGCAAATACTCAGCTTTCATGAAAGAGAAATTGGGGGACTCCTTTTGTGGAAGGTGTAGTTGGATGACCAGAGCTGCACAGAAAATACACTGGAGCACTTCTCTACCAGCAGAGATCCTCAGCCCTGCAGGGCTCCTGTCCATGAGGCTGGAGGCACTGCTGGGCATTGGCAGGTTGGAAAATACCTGTAAGATAAACACTGAGTCCCACTGTAAACCTAATACCAGTACAGGCTCCCAGCAATGTGGTGGTTATTTTTTGGATGTACTTGAGTTTGCACAGGAAGAGGTTTCTGTGGGCAAGGAATGGGCATGACCCAGGAAAGTTGCAGAGGGCTACATCAGCAAATAACATCAAAAATCTGTGCCATTATTATTATCTGAATTGATGCTTCTTTGATACTTCTGGAAGTGATATCCAGGTCTCAGCTAGATCCACCCTGCTTGGAGAGGTGGCTTTCATCTGCAGACCTCACCACCATACATAGCTTAACAGCTGAGGCGGCAGTAGAAGGGTGTGGGATGTTTGCCCAAAATAGGCAGAGGAAGTTGAAGACTGTCTCTCATTATTAGTCATTACTTGCCTTGCAGGAGCATTTTTTGCTTTTTCTATAGAAGACAAGCTCACAATGGCATCTGCATTTTATGCACTTCCAAGAGAGGACCCTCAATATATCCTGGGGTTTGGGAAAGCAGAGATGTATGAAATTTAAGTTTTGCAATATTTGAAACATCACTTCTGGACACTACTGGAAGAACAGAGTGCTCTGTCATTTGTTAATTTCAAATATGTACAGTCATATGGCAACTCAAATCTTTATTTAAGGACTACTTCCCTATTTCCCTAATACTTTTTATCCCCATTGAACTGCATTAAAAAAACCCAAAAAACAACCCTATACCATCCCTTACCACATGTTTAAACTGTAAATGTGCATTTATAAAAACCTTGAAAGTTTACTCAGCTACGCTGCTGTGACTTCAATTAAACTTGCAGTGGTCAAAGCATGCAGATGGCCCCAGTTTTCTTCAGTCACTAAGTGTTCTCAGCACAATTTTCTGTTCTTGACTCAGGCTGTGTACAGCTTTTGACCTGTGCTGGTGGTGACTGCTGCAGAGATCCACCCTGTGGCTGTGTTGCTGTAACTGCTCACTGGGCTCTGCAAGGAGCCGTGAGCGGGGTGGAGCATGTTCAACACGTGGCTGATAACTCATCTCTGTCTTTATCAGTGCCACTGGCTGGCTCAGTGCCAGAGGTCCCTGCAGCTGGGACAGCTTTAGGTGTGACTGAGCCAGCTGGAGAGGGGCAAGGCCTCTCAGCACCAGGGCACCAGTTCTAAAGGGGGCACAAGCACTGTGTTTATTTTGTGCCTTGGGCTGCTGCTGAATATCCATGGGATAGCTGGGCCTGCATTTCTCATGCTGCAGTGGCTTGGGGTCATTTGAACATTCTGTGTGATGTTCTTGGTGCTTCAGGGTGGATGTAAACAGAATCCAGAGTAAAATTCAATGTGATTTACATCCTAGTCATGTGAGAAAGCACCTCTCTCTACATGCTGCCCTCTGGTCTTTGCTATCACAGGCTGGAGGAGCACAGCAGGAGCTTTTGGGGTTTGGCATTGATCCTGTTCTGCCTCTGTTACCCTCTGGATGGGATGAGGCACTTCCTTCCCCAGACCTCACAGGAACAGGGAGGCTGAGGCTCAGGGAAGCTCTGCTTGTCCTGGCTGTGGTTCCCTCTGCCCATGGCATTGCATGTGTGTTATTTGTATCAGAGCTGAAGTGAAGCAGCCGTTCCTGCTCTGTGTCTGCAGTGACCAACTGGGAGAGCTGCTCAGTACTCACCCAAGTCCACAAAATCATGTAACTTCACAGGGCAAATGCAAACCTGGCCTGGTTCTGCAGAAGTGTAGTGAGGAGTCTGTGTATAGGGTAGGGAATTGTATGGTCTGGTGAGGGAAGGGAAGTGAGTTCTCAGGCAGGTGGGATCCAACCAAGAGTAATAAAGTAGTGATGCAGATTGGAGATGGAAGGTGCCTGTGACTTTTCAAGGATGACCCTGGTGCAACGGATCACACATTTCAGTTGCTGTTTTTCCAGTTACACAGAATTTAGAATACTGTGTCAAAAACAGGAAGAGGTGGGAAGAAGCAAGATGGCATCCTCAGGAAAGGGTTCTCCAGTGCACACAAGTATGTCTTACATGGAGATGTTATTTTCACTTGAAAGAAGAAATTCTTGTCCATCAGCCACAAGAGTTTCTGATGATCACACGTCAGTACTTATCTCAGGAAAGACTACAACTGTGTCCTTAAAACTAGGAGCCACTCACTTCCCCTTGGTACAACACACTATCCCCCACATCCATCTGTTAACAGTATAGGGACAGGGCCAAAACTCAGAAAATGTGAAACAGAATTGATCTTATCAGCAAATACACTACAAAATTTAAGCATAGAAAAATTTACTGGTTCAGCCCTTGAATCACATGAACTGGTAGAGGTGTGTTTTTTTCAGTGCAGATGTACTGATTTATATAGTGTAGGGTATGTTCTCAGTAGTTGAAAAATGTTTTCAAGCTTTACACAGACTGGAAATTTAATTCAGCAACTGTAACTTATTCCTAGCTTTTAAGTTAGCAGTTATTGCCACTGGACTACAGACAAATGTACCATAACCAAGTGGCTCTTTTCCAGCTGCAGTTTCTAGAATGTGACCAAACACACAAGATTTTTGCAGAAATTAAGAAATCTATTAATAGCAAAAGTCATGAATCTAAGTCCAAGATGCTAAGTGGATTTGGGCAAGACTGAGCATTTAAATAAAACCTAAAGAGAAAATATGTATTTCATAAGAATATTCCCTGATAGCTAATGAGATACCTGTGCTTCACACAGGTTAGACTACT